ATGTATCTATTTTTTCCTTAAAATATGTTTGAGTTCTGTTTTGGTATTGTTTATAGTAGTTAATAGTTTGCTGGTTACACTCTAATTTTAGAATATGCTACTTTGTCACATGTAAATTAGATACATAAATATTAAATTATAGTTTCAGATAAAGAAAATTTATTAACAATGTATAATGCCACTGAGTAATACTTTACTCCTCAAATGAAGACATATTTTGTATAGTGCATTTTCCTTTTCTTCCATCTGGTCTCAGATGTAATTCTAATGTTCATCAAGGTGGCCAGGTAGCTGGAACACGCCATTAGTTTTTATTCCAGGGCTGCTCATTAAGTCTCTTGCAACAGGATTTAGCTTCAACAGCATCACAAAGAAATGAAATGTTTTTCATTCAAGGCAAAGGAAGCTCCTGACAAGTTAAATTTTATTATTTATTCAGAGGGCGAGCCCCTCATACATCCATTTATTTGCCAAGGTGAATTACAGCAATAGGAATTGAAACTATGAAATAAACAAGGCAGCCAGTTTGGGTTTGCAGAATATTAACTCTGATCACTGAAATCAAGTACAATGTTGACTTAATTTGAGTTATCTTCCTGAAGGCATGTGGAAACCCTTGACAGATGCTGTGCCACTTATATGAGAATAGCTGTAGTTTTTTTCTTTCTGGACATATTCCAAATACTTTCCTACCCAATTAAGGTTTCATTTCTTGAAAGATGAAAAAGAAAGTAATTTTTTGAAGGTAACTATACTATTTAAGATGCGAAGGTCTGCATATTTTATGAAGAATGGGAATTGTTTTAGTGTAATCAAAAATCACCTGAAGCTTTTTACTCATTACTTTCTTCTGGAATATTTTCTTTCACATTTAGCACTTTTTTATGATTCAAATAATTAATCTGTTTGAAAGGTGTGGCTTTATGGAACACTGGAAAGTCTCTGTCTTTTAATGTTTAGTATTTATCTTGTTTTATTAGCAATGTTTAACTATTTTTCAATTAGTTTAATACAATTTTAATGTGCGATGATATCTTGTTTGGGTCCCAGTGTCACCACAAAGCATGGCTTTGCTTTGTGGTATTTATAGTACATATGGAGTACATATGTATAGTATAGGTACAGTATATATGTATGGAGGCTACTATGTGCACTACAATAAGACCATAAAAAAACAACAAAAAAAAGTAAGAGTAGAATTCAAACAAGGTTTTGCAAATCCTGTTTTCTATAGAGGAGCAACATTTTAAAGTCTTCTATTGGCTGGGACTTCTAGATTGTGATTTTATAAATTACACCCATTACTTAATAAAAGCTCACCTGACAGTATTGATGCTTTTTGTAACCAAACACGGTAAATGAGGTCCTAATCCAGTTGAATTCAATTAGGCGTTTTTCCCAATTTGAGCCAAATGCACACGAAGAAACCACAGGCTGCACACATTGGGCATACCGCATGGACTCGGCGTGCAGAGGCTACGTGAAAAGGCTAATTCTTCTCAATATGCACTGGCTGTTTCTCTGTGAGACAGCCACTATGTGCTCATATTTACGACGTTTCACATATTTAGCCTTTAGTTACCTGCAAAAGAAAACAAACAAGGCTTGTGTCTCAGCAATAGGATTATGCATGTGCTCAGGAAATACGTTATCCCAGATCTGTGGAACCCACACCCTGTCTCCTCCTTTCCCCGTAGCTCTCTGTTTCAGGCCCCCGTTCCCTACTCTTTCTACCCCAGCATCTCACCTCCAATTTTGATCAATTTACCTGAATGTGAAGGTGGCATGAGGACATGGCTTCTGTAAGAATGCTTTTGCCAGGACTGGTATGTTTACAAAGTGTGCTATCTGTAACGTGGGCTATCTGTGTGGAAATGTGGTATACTTTTAATGGTTTTAATATTTCTCACACTGTCCTACAAATACAGGTATTTTTGTATAAATGTATATATGAGGGTGAGCATCAGACCCAGATTAATTGGTTTTACTGAAATTTTTATGTGAGTTAAATTCAGATATTGCAAAAGTATTTGCAGATGCAGCCTCTGATTCTAGTTAGACTAAAGAGTTTGGTGCAAGGGGTATCTCTACTCTTGCTAACCTGTTCATATGGGAATATTTCTTCCATTTACAGCACAACTGAATACGGTTGTCTATCAGATTCTATATACATAACTAATGGCAATCACTCATCAATTAGTCTATGTGATCTGTAGTATTGATCAAGAATTAGTACACATTGCACAGAAATGGCATGAAAAGCATAGATTTTTCGTAGCTTGTGCATTGTTAAGCACTGTGATGGCATTTTAGGTCTGAAAAAAATACTGTTTGATTCAGCTGTCCTTAAAATACGACACTTGCTAGACTAGACCTATTAATTTATGGAAAGTTAGGGAATCAACGTATCCATTTACTGCTTGCTAGAGCTTATCTCTGCCGCCTTGATTTCCTGTCTCCTTTTTCTGCTATTAGGACTTGCAAAATCTATGAAACCTGTAGGTCATATTGAAATTCCAATTATATTACAAAATCGGGAGTAACTGCATGTCAATTGGAATATTTTTTCCAGATTGTTGTGTACAAAGAAAGGCCGATTATTTTTAAATTCATTTTTTTAATCTTTTTGCAGTGAGGACAGAATTATTTATGACCTGGTTTGATCAACGTCTGCTATGATTTGCTATAACCAACTGCTTATTGTCGCAATGTTTTTGGCATATGTAGATCTACCCGTGTCTGAAAATGAAGATGATTGCCTCTGTTCTCTGAGCTCTGGCACTTGTTTTGAGTATGGAGTCAGTTAGGTTCATTTAGTTGAGAAATTGTGCCTTTTAAGACAGAAGAGCTTGTGTTTGATCTGAAGCCAAAGATTCTCCATGGAAACTTGGGAGTGTTGAGTGTTGGCTCCTTAATAAAATGCAGAGGATACAAGGTGTAACCTAGTATCCCTCCTTGCAGGTTTATTAGACGTTACTGAAGAAACTGAAGCAAGAGGAAGACTGGCCCAAAGAGACTGAATACCAGTTTCTTTTGCACAGCCTAAAAACACATAGGCAAGGTGCAGTGGTCCTAGCATTTTAAATTCACTTCAAGTAACTCCTGCTGTCAAGTCGGTTGCCTCTGGGGAAGGAAGAACCTCACTGGTATTGATTACTGGTGCATCTTCTTCAAAACATTTTTCAGTGCTGTTAAGATCACTCCTCTTTTTCCTTTGAATGATTTCAAGAGTGCTTCAGAGAATGGGGAGCTCGTGGGATGTGGCTAAGGAGAGTCACAACTTCCAAGGTGCCTGGAGCTTTGAAAAGAAAAAAAAAAGGATTTAGTTAAACTTCTATCTGTTGCATTTCATATATGAAAGTCGAGGAGGAGCCTGGCTTCAAGGAGGTAGGTGGATGACTAGTGTTGGTGATTCACTCACCAGGAGGCAACACAACATGCTTCCTACAAACCTAGTACCAAAATTTTGCAGTGGTAAGTAAAATAAATGCCTGTTTTCTGATGCCTGAAAATTACAGTGCTGTTAGATTAAGTGGATTGGGTCTTTGAATAGAATTAAGGAAATTAAACCACCTGAGTGTATGCAAAGTTTCCATTAAACCTGGGACTAGACTTCTTGCCTCTATAATTAGTTTAGAAATCCAATATCCTACCTTTACAGAAGTCTAACTGAACAACAACAAAATTGATTTAATAATGGCTGTACCCCATGGGGACACAAATGATATGTACAATTTTTTTCAATTAAAATATCCCATAAAGGGCTAACAGCCCATTTTCAGATTTCATGACCAAAGAAAAAAAGAAAAAACTAAAAAAGCTGATTGATAAAACCAGCAGAGGCAATATAATTGGTAGGAGGATACTTGGGAAATATTTCCCTAGGGAAAGTGATTAGAAAAATGTTTCCTACTGAAGTGTATTTTGTGTCCTAAGTGAGCGCAGAGTACAGCTGTCAGGCGTGCTTCTAAGAGACTTTAGATGTTGACATACAGCTGATGTCCAGAGGGCTCAGGCAGGGAGTAGCCACCATGGGAGGTGGTCCCGTCCTCCACCCAGTGCAGAGCCTCTGCAGCTTTCTGTAGAGGAGGATCATAGTCTGTGAGTTAAGTCTGCCGCAGTCCCTTCTGGATCCAGCAGGGATCCAGAACAGTGGAACAGGAATGCAACTGATAGGCACATGAAATTGTTACATCAGGAACAAGAAAAATATTTATTAAAAATGACTGAGCAGTATGGTCGTCTTGCTGTTCTCCAGTTAGTCAAAAGGTGAGGGTGGGGAGCTTGAGCAGGGCAGGTGGTGATTGACTCAAACGCACTCCAGCTGAGAGACCAGCTGGCAGAGATTACAGCTCCGGCAGTGTCTGTAAATGCTCTAACAACATTGTGAAAAAAAGGAAAGGGGATATATGCATGGGCAGAATTTTTTTGTCTCTGTTAATGTTGTGAAAGAGTTGCTTTAATAAAATGGGCAGATCCTTCCAAAATCTTAACAAAGAGCAGAATGAGCCTGAAGAAGCACACTGGTTTGTTCCAGCAGTGGCACCTGTCAGCCTTTTCCTGGTATATGCATTTGACAGATAAAATAATGTGTAGGATCCATTCTTGAGAAGGTTTTCAGCACCATTAGGAGAGAGGTAAGAAATAAGAGTGTTGTGAGGAGACAAGCAAAGAGACGTTTTAGAGCAATATGTCGCGCTATTCAGAGCTTTCACTCTGAAATAAAAGTGGTGTAGTGTGTACCACAAAA